GTAGTTTTTTTGTTAATGCTCTGCTTACGTGTAACTATTATTATATTACTTTTTAAAGCTTAGAGAGAAGATTCTTAGGTTTATACTTTAATTAAGCTAATTATAATACTTACTTAAGTCCTTTATTAAATAATATTATAAAGTGCTTCTTATATTATAATTATAATCGTATTATAAAGCTATACTCTTATAATTAAAGTATTATTAATAATAATTATAGCTTTAACGTAGTATTATATTACTTTTTAAGTAATATACTTCTTAAATAGTTTCTATATATACTTTAATAAAGCTATTAAAATAAAACTAATTAATTTATTATAAATAACGCGTTTTTTATTATTAAGTTTATTTTATTACTATTAATATTATATTCTTTATATTACTTTTATTATAACCTTAATATAATATTATAATAAGAGGTAATTAAGTGTAAGACCACCCCAGTTTACCGAAAGCTAACCTCGACTTTACACTTCGAAGCGTCGGCAGCGAAAGCATTTTCCGCGATCTGTAATTCCGACGTGGGATGCTAGCAAGCTGCATCGTAGCTATGTATTCTGGTCAGCATACCTAGGCGCTTGGTTTTGTTGTTTATCATAGTATCGCGTCCTTTTGCTTGCATTTATTGCATGCACTTCGCCGGCAGGTGTTGTCGGATGCTAGTCTTGTCCTCGTTCCTATATGCCTTGCAGAAAGACGTCCGATTGGGGGAATTTCTCGCCGCACCATTTGTGCTGTGTAACTCAGCCAATATGACTGCGCTGTAGCATCGCAATATAAATAGATATTCTCCCCCGCCGACTAAAATTACGAGACTGTAATCAAAATGATGACAGCGACTAGACTGCCCAGTACGTGACTGACGTGGCTTACACACCCATTTGAAACCACCCAGTCACTATGGACATTCCGCTCCGATGGGAGAACACATGTAGACGCAAGCTGGTTGGAAAGGTGCTGTCGTGGAACGAATTAATTCAATATTCGCAGGGGCGGCCTTTAAGCCTACGGCTACCAGTCTACCATGAGCTGGTCCTTCTAATGTTGCTTTGAAAATGACACTTCCCCCCGGGTAACCAGAAGGGGCAAATGTAAATTTTGCCAGAGCAACTTCGCGTCCGCGTTCTCGGTTGAGTCAGCTCCCCCCTAACCCACCCGAAGGTCAGCTAATGCTGAACTCGAGAAAACCAAGTTACAGCAGAAACGGGTCGCTAAGATAGCCAGAAGTCGCAGTCCGCAAACTGTGACTAGTCCCAGCCAGGCACCTCATTCCGTCAGCGCACCACGTCTCATAAAGCCGTCAGCAGCGTTGGCGCATTAAGAAAAAACGTTCAACCGACACGCAAAGCCACAGCCCCCAATCAAAGGTCCAGGCCGCTGGGAGGGACGGAAGGTGAAAGAAAGAGAACGGCTTGCCACTAATAGCACTAATAGACTTTCCGCACCTTGGCTGACATCTGGAGGCACTAGAACAGTAGCCTCCGCACATTTAAAATGTGCGTAGGTTTACTTGCGCTCGCGCCCAGCGTTCGACGGCGAGGACCCTTGTCCTGATGCAGGTTCTTCTGTGGTGCAACTTGCTGTGATGCATGTATGCACGGCGCACTCCGTACGTGCTACTGAGCTTTACGACCAGCTTCCATCAATCAGGCCATGGTTCGACACTTTTAGTGAAGCCGTTCTGAAGTTATCCATGAGTGGACTTGAGTACGCATGGTGCACCGTAGACCGGGACCTCGTGGCACCTGAGCATCACATCAGACACTTTGACTTGCACAAAAGAAACCTCCCTTGCGCCGAGTGTACGGCCAAGGCGGCCAAGGCAGCCACGTGGGAGCATTGCTCAAATCGGGCCAGGTCAGGTAGGATTTGGATGGACAATAACTACCGTCAAGGTGAAAATCACTTGAGCACCACAGGCCTCATGTCGCTTCCTCTGGTCACAGCCAAGGTCATGCCACTGGCACGGCCAAGGCCCCAGATTGAAGATCAGGATTCAAGATTCACGGTCCTGCATTGCAGGTCCCTTGTCCACGATATGGTGGGACTCCTTGGTGCCCGCCTGACTAGGGCCTTCAGGAGCGCAGGAGCGTCAGGAGCGTCAGGAGTATCAGGAGCGACAAGTTGCGGGCACCAAGACGGCATTAGACGGGCCTCCGATGCTCGCCTGCGAGGATTGAACGAGTAATGATGAGTTATGAGCGTGTATGAATTTTGGATGAGCATGGACAGGCTCTCCTCGTGCACTTGAACCCATGCCCACCCACACACTGAAGTGTTGTGAGTTGCACATGCACGTAATTGACAGGGCTTGGAATGCCAGCGTTTTTTGAGTGCCGCAGGTATTTGGCGCACTGTACGATACTAGGACAGTCCGCCCAGAATAACTTGGAATCATGGCTCAAGTACCGGGCAGTTCTACTGGATCTTGCGATCATGCCCATGTACCACGCCCTTGGGCCCTCTGTCCACTTAAGCAACCGTCCATCCTTCACCGTGCGCACTCTGCCCGCTCAAAGTGGTCGTGCTGTCGACTACCAGGTCCCAGAGTAGCGGCACCGGGGAGGACGTAAGTAAGTGCTAGTATTTGATGAGCTAGTGTGAACGTGGTTAAACAACTGGGCGGACCGACGGTTGGCAGCACCTAAGCTGGATTGAATTCTAAATTTGCGCGGTTCAGAAGCCCCCGTGGCCCAGTGGCTCAGTCCTGGGTGTTACTGGCTGTTGCTGCTACTCTGCGCTGTACCCGCGTCAATAACGTCGGAGCGAGTCTGGTGCAATCCTTCCGCACTCTGCCCACTGCCCAAATCATTCGTTTTCCGCTCTCTTCATCCTCAAGTTCGACGTCAACAAACGTCGTCCTGTTTCGCCGTCCTCTCCCGCGACAGATACGTCGATTTTGAGCCACAACCACGATAGCTATTACACGGAAATCAATTTTGCCTTCCCCTCGATTGCCGGGGAACGCTCCCAAGAGGCATGTCGACGCCCACGACGGCCGTAGCCAAGCTCCCTCACTACCACCTTGCCCACCAGGCTCACCACCACCCATCGTCAGCGACATCAAATTATCGCACCACGACTGCCAATTCTTTGCTGTACGCGCCAAACCCATCTGTGACGACGTCGCCGTCGTCCAACGCGGCACGCCTTCTGCCTTTCGACCAGGCTGGTAGCCATAATGCCGGCTACACTTCGTCGGATGCCGTAACCCAGAACCATCAGCCCCAATCGCCACCAGCACCCCCTCCCCACGACCACTATCTACCTCGCGACCACCACATTGAAACCTCAACCCCAACAACTCCGAGACATCGCATTCATCGTAACTAGTCATCCACCATGGGCAGTGCAGCGGCTACCGCCACGGCTCCTTCTACAGCCGCTGCTGCCGGGCCTGCTGCTCACAACCATGGCCCTCCCTCACGGAAACGCCGTCGCTCCCAGGAACCCGACTGGAATACCTTCTATCGCAACGGTTTGCCAAAGGAAATTATCGTCATTGACGACACCCCGGAGCCGGAAGCCAACACCAGTCGAAAATTGGCATCGTCCATCACAAATGGCGACGCATCTGGCGGTGCTGCTTCCTACGAGGCGACTGCTACCAACACTCGCCAGCCCATGAAGCGACGACGTCGGGATGCTCCCGCTTCGGGCTATCACGTTCAATATGTGGGCTCCCTCACAAACACACCGCTGCAACACGGCACACCCATCGGCTCTACACTCTCTAGTGACCGCACCAACTCATTTCTCAACACCACCGCCCCGACTTCTCTTTCTTCTCATAGCCAGTATGACGAGGCTCCTGTTCCTTTAAAGCGCAAGCGGACTACCCGTCAGCAGGCGGCCAACGAAGCGAAACGTCGAGATGTCAATGGCCTAGGGGGCCGACTTCTCACGTACAAGCCGCCACCATTTCCCCCGAAAAAGGTTGCAGATGTTCAAGTCCGGGTTGTACACGATGTGAGTACTGCATTGCTTTTTTTTGCCTCACTATCTCCTCGTCGATTGGTCTATGGACCTGCGTCCAACTTCAACGCAGAATCCCCCTCCCATGCATAGCGCTCATTGCTTGCGTAAAAATGTGTCGCTAACTTTTTTTTTTTTCAAATAAACAGCACTACTCAAAGAATGTAAAGGTTGATGATGACGATGGGCACTACATCGTCGTTCCCGATGCGGAACTCACTGAAAATTGTATGTCAAATTTCACCTGTATTCTTCTGTAAGTACATGCATGGCTAATGTATGCACAGACCAAATTACCCGCTTGCTTGGCCAAGGAACTTTTGGCAAGGTTGTTCAAGCCCGTGATAAAAAGCGGAACCAGGCTGTTGCCGTCAAAATTATTCGATCAGTGCAAAAGTACCGCGATGCGTCAAGGATTGAATTGCGAGTTCTAGCTACTCTCAAGGCCAATGACGCCAATAATCGATATCAATGCATACACCTAACGGACTGCTTTGACTATCGGGGCCATATCTGCATTGTCATGGACCTCTTGGGTCAGAGTGTCTTTGACTTCTTAAAGGGCAACGGTTTTGTACCCTTTCCTAATAGTCATATTCAAAACTTTGCTCGTCAACTCTTTACGAGTGTAGCCTGTGAGTACAAGGCGTTTTCAAATGCTTTTTAACACTCAAGCACGCCGCTGACTAGGACCAGTCCTGCACGATCTCAACCTGATCCACACCGATCTTAAGCCAGAAAACATCCTTCTCTGCGATGACATGTACCAGACATTCACATATAACCGGAAAATTCCCTCATCCTCAACAACTATTAACAGGCAAGCCTCTCAGCGGCGGGTATTGTTAAATACGGAGATTCGGTTAATCGATTTCGGGTCGGCTACATTCCAGGATGAACATCACTCATCTATCGTCTCGACAAGGCATTATCGAGCTCCAGAAATTATCCTGGGACTGGGATGGTCGTTTCCTTGCGATATCTGGAGCATTGGTTGTATCTTGGTTGAATTCTTCACCGGTGACGCCTTGTTCCAAACGCACGATAACCTTGAGCATCTGGCCATGATGGAAGCAGTCGTGGGTTCGAGGATAGATACTCATCTCGTGCAGTCTGTAAACAAGATGTCCACTAGGAGCGGCGGCAATCCGGCGTCCAAGTAAGTCTTCGCCCTTTCCGCCTTTGAACTTTATCCTGACCTGCATAGATACTTCAAACGCCTCAAACTTGACTATCCTACTGCAGACACGACGCGAGGTTCGAGGAGATTTGTTAAAGCTATGAAGCACCTTCACGTAGGTTCCACTTTGTCTAGTTGACACATGTACGACTATCCTCTAACTCTCACAATAGGACATTATTCCATCGAGTAATCAATTTTTTAAGCATTTCCTTGATTTGCTGCAAAAGATCTTTGTATATGACCCTGCACGTCGTATTACTGCCAAGCAGGCCTTGAATCATCCCTGGTTTGATGAAATTGCGCAGCCGGATGATGGCACAGAGGCGGCAAAGATTCGACCGGAAAGAAAACGACTGGAACTGGAAAAGGCTCGAGCTCACCACCGTCATTACGTACCATTATGACGACAACCTACTGTAGTACAATCTCTTTGATCACAACGAAAACACGACCAGTTCCATCTTGTGCGGGTCTCGTATCTAAATTTTTTTTGCTTTGTTATAACGACCATATATATATTTATTTGTGAGCATGGTTATCGGAGTTAATGGACCTCTTTTACTTCACTTGCAGCAAAGGATGGATTGAACGAACTGGGTCAGGTTTTTTTCTGGCAATACGTCGTTATTGGGATCCTGGCTTCCAAGGCGTTTTGTTCGGAAGACAGGCAGAGTGGAGGCGGGTCTCGTATTGAACTTATTCGTTTTGGAGCGTTCCTGGTATCAGATCTAGGACCGAGATGTGCAAGCCAATATGGAAAAGAAGCCGATGTTTCTCCCATGAACTGCAGTCTTCATCTATTTCAACTTTTACACCAACGCCATACTCCTTCTTCAGTCTGCCTCCATAGAAGTAGCTAGGCCGAGGATTGTCCAACCTTGATCTTGACAGCAAATGCCTCGGCGATTTTAAGCAGTGCCGCCAGTTAGCGAAAGAATTCCCCATATCATCATGCTGTAATCCGGTAAGGCCGAAGGGAACAGTGTAAGTCCCAGAGGCGCTGCGGGTATCAGCTGCGGTACATGGCGTTGGATGTTTATCTTTTACTCATGCTTTTTTTTTGTTTTTGGCTAGCATGTATGGTAGCACACATGATCACGTCATGTTATTCTATGAAGCATTTTCAGAAATCGGCTGCGGCCAGGTGTCGAAGACGCGTATTGGCGCCCTATTATCTTTTTCCTGTTCAGCGGTGTTTTATCCGTTCAAGATTGAATACTGGACATGTCAAAACCACGGCACACCAACCGGCACTTCTGTTGAACCAGTTGAAGGCTGCTTGTATCTATTCACATAGCCGTGAGACGTGGGACAATATTGAGCAGTATGCTGTCGTTGTAAGAGCAGAACAAGAAGAATGGAAATAAGAATTGTGTGCCAAACTTTAGCACCAGTGGAAGAAATTTTTTCGACAATGACGCTTGTGCAGAAGCACAAGACACGGGACTTGATACACACGAGCGTCTATGCATATCACTGATTGCTTGACCAAATGACTGGCGGTAGACGCCTTGAATGTCTCTTGATGAAAATTGAACGGCTTCCATAGCAGAGGACGGTTGGATAAGGCTACCGATTGCAAATGTATCAGACCACGAGAGTAGTCGTGACATGTTGGTTAGTCTATATAACAGGGGCCGGCTGCAGGGCCACGAATAAACGCTGAGCAAAATGCCGCGCAGACTAATGGAACAGCAAGAGCGTCATGACGTAGGGATGGTGCGACGGCAAAGCCCGCCACCCAGCTCCTATCCCTCGATGCTCAACCCCATCTACACGCCATCGTACAAGCTCCCGCCAGCCTCATCCTCAACCCTCACTGCATCGTCCAGGCCCACAATGGCAAACAGCCTCTTGGGGGTGAAGTCGGGGTCTAGCCCCGTCCTCCCCGTCTCCTTGATGCGCACAAACGCCCCCCGGATGGCCTTGTACGCGGGCGCCAGCGCGGCAAAGGGGAAAATGACAATCTTGAACCCCAGCTGCCTCGCCTCGTCGGGGGTCCAGGACGGCGTCGCCCCGTGCTCGACCATGTTGAGCAGCACGGGCACGGGGGCCAGCGCCTCACACACCTCGCTCGCCTGCTGGGCATTCTGGATGCCCTCGAGGAAGGCTACGTCGGCACCGGCCCCGGCGGCGGCCCTCAGACGCCGGACGGCCTCGTCGAAGCCGTGTGTCTGGAGCGCATCCGTGCGGGCAATGACGACAATGTCCGAAGCCAGGCGGCGGCGGGCCTGGGCGGCGGCGCGGATCCGCTGCACAAAGGTGTCTGTGTCGACGACGGCCTTGCCGCCCAGGTGGCCGCAGCGTTTTGTCTGGATCTGGTCCTCGATGTGGAGGGCTGCCACGCCACTGCGGTGGTATTGCGCAACGGTGCGGGCGACCATGTTGGCGCCGCCGTAGCCCGTGTCTGCGTCGGCGATGAGCGGTATCTTGAGGTCAAGATTGGCCACCATCTCGGCGTGGCTGCGCATGTCGTTGAGCGTTGCGAGACCAAGGTCTGCTTGGCCGAGTTTGGAGGCGCATGTGCCCGCGCCCGTCTGTACGTGAGTGTTAGTTGGGGCCTGGGGAAGATTGTCGGTGCTGGGGCGTCTGCTTGCCATGTAGATGCTGTCGAAGCCGACCTCGAGTGCGATTCGCGCGCTGAAGCCGTCGTACACTCCGGGCGCTACGATGATGTCCTTGGTGGCGAGCATGTGTCGGAGCTTGGTGGCTGCCGAGGGACTGCTTGGCGCGGTGGTTTCCATTTTGTGAAGAGTTTTGCCGGCTTAGTGTACTGGTGCTGGTGTTGCCATTCTTGTATTGATTGGTTGCTGGAAGTTGGCTTTATATGCTTGAGATGGAGAGGCCATTGGTGTTTGCCTTATGTCGATATCGGAGCCGATTCGGACATCTCAAGCCACTTTGGCCACTCCGACCGGACTGGGCGAACCTGATGATATTCAAGGGCTAGTTCACGGATCTGGCTCTGGATTTTCCACCGGTCAAGACGGGGATTGAGCTAGTTGGGTGCCGGTGAGATGGTGATTAGCTTCAGTCTTCTCCGTATCGTGATGGCACGGAACTACGTCATAGCGAAGATACCAATGGCGCTATTGGAAATCGAACCCAACCCTCCATTATAAGGCGGCAATGTGTCATCGAAGACCGGCTCAAAAATCCTGTATAATGGGTGTCAGCCTGGTATGGGAGTAAAGTTGAGTTGGACTGTTCGTACAACCTTGGAGCAACCTTGAGAGAGATTATCCTGCTGGTCAAACGCCTCCCGGAGATACAGAGATACGGATACACCTCCATCCTAGCGCAAGTCCAATTTCCCATCAATGTCGCTAATCGCTATCAAGCACATTGCAGGTCTTCTTCAGTAGCAACTCAACACTAACCTTTGCTGTCTCGTTGCTCATAAACCACATGCCTCGTAGACCCAGACTCCCCTAAAACGCCACATATATGCCTACCTAGATCAACATCATTCATCCTTCTCAAATGCATCGTTCAAATAACTGACAAACAGCTCCCTCATCCCATCAGCCGCCATGTTGCCCACCCTCTCCAGCCCAATCCCGCCCCTGTTCAACCCGACAAACGCCCTCCTCAGCCTCTGCAGCTGCGGCAAGCCGACTTTTTTGCCCGCCGGCAAGTCCACAATCAGATCTTCTCTATCGGCGGCGGCAAGCGGTACCTTTACCTCGCCACCGCCGCCGTCCCCTTGCTGCTCAAGTATTCTCTTGACAACATCCTGGGTCTCCCGCTCGAGAACATACAAGTAATCGCCGCCGGCTTCTCGGCCACGCTGAACCGTAGACTGGTTTGGCTTGACGACTTTACGCCCCTCGCCAGCCATGGCGTCCCAGAGATCATCAAAAGTTCGCTTCGTCTGGGCCTCGTCATCGTCCCAGAGGACAGCAAAAAGCGGGGAGTCCCAGCGTGTCATGGGGTTTGGCTCCTCGTAGCGAAAGACGAGGTTGTCCCAGTTGGCCGGTTCGTAAGGCTCCGGCGCAGTTTCGCCATCGCGCTCGGTGGTGTCTTGTTGCCGTCGCCGCCTCCTCTCCTCGTTGACCTGCCTCGCCTGGTCAACCGGGCACGCAACGCGCAGTATGCAGTTTGGCGTCCTCATGGCCTTGGCCTCGCAGTGCAGCTGGTACCGCCACCCCTTGATGTAGTTCAGGCCGTCGAGGATGACAAAGTCCTTGTCGGAGAGCACGCGCTTCACGGCGCCGTACAGGGCGGCGCGGGCATCCTTCTCGGACGAGTTGGCGGACCGCGTGTGCAGCCGCACCGTGTCCGGGGAGAGGTCGTACACGGCGCGGGATATCGACAGTGAGTCATCGGATATGAGGTGAAGGCGGTACTTGGGCGGTTGGGTTTCTGCGATGCGCGCCGACAGGTAGTCGTGGAGTTGCTTGGCGCGGGTGGTTTTGCCGGACGTGGGGAGGCCGGAGACGATGATGAGCTGCTGAATGTGTTGGCTTGTGCGTGCGATTTGGGGTGGAATCGTGTTAGGGGGTGGTGGCAGCTTACCGGCATGGTGACGTTGTGTGTGTTGCGAGGCAGAGCGCAAGGCGGCGATGGAGGGAGGTTGCGATGTCATGTCAGCTTTTTTTGGTGGGGTTTAGGCCTTGGGCGTGACGAAATGTGGATGGGAAGGAGCTACCAGGTGCCCGCTCGAATACGATGCCCTCCAACATGGTGATGCGTCAATTCGAATGGAACAAGCCCTTGAATGCAGAGATTGCTCGCAATAATAGCGTAGATACCGGCACCAAGAGTCACTCACGGCAAATCTTGAATCAAGGCAAGAGGCAGCCCAAAACACCCGCACAGCCGCGTAATGGAGAAGCACACTCGTCAGACCGCAACCAGGGACCAAAACGGGAATAACTCCAAGTCGGCCGGGTCTCGCACCCGCATTCTCAAACAACTGCAAGTCACTTACGGAGTAGTAGTTGCAAAAAGACAACACAGCCTCACACACCTCGATTCGATTGCAATAAAACTTTAAAACGCCCAATACATACGAAATACAATTAATAAAAAGGACCCCTTTCGGCGCCACGGCCCCTCCGCTCCGACGCCCGGCCGGCCCCCCAGCCGACCAATGACCCTCCGGCCTACCCACCCCATCAGCCCTACAAAGGAAATGCTTCAGCAAATCCATTCGAAGCCACTAAACCGCTTTAGGTAACTGTTTCGACGTCGTCCAAGGGCTGATTCGTCAACTTGCGGCTGACAAGTTTGCCCATCAATTGATCCTTTATATTTTCCTGTTTGGTGCAAGATGAGTCTGACCTGACCATTGGGATCGGGCGTGATGCTGTGCGGGCTGAGGTGTCGGCGTCGGTGTGATCCGTTGTATGTGTGCCTGCATCGTGCCGTGATCCGAGATGGCGCTGCAGTTTTGTCCTCGTGGGCATGTATAAGAAGGTTTGGTTGCTCTTCCAGAATGGAGGAGAGCTTTAATGGGAGCCAGGCGCTTCTTTGCATTGAGTCGTGTACACAAGCTGGCGCCTGATATTACATACGTTTTCTTAGACCAGCTTTCACCGAGTCGTGTACACGGGCTTTCACCTCATCACACCTGATCTAGCATACGATCCCCTAACCAGATTACATCGAGTCTCATACACAAGCTTACACCCTGTATTCTGTTTCTCATACCACCTTGCACGGTTTTCATTCCCGTATACGCTTCCCGTCGTATATTCCCTTCCAAGGCCTCCGAGACACTCTCGTCGCCATGGCTCACTTCGACACGTACGACGTCATCTCGGTCGTCGGCATCCCCATCTACGTCGTCTTCCTCATCTGCGCCGTCCTCCTCTCCATCAAGCACGGCTTCAAGAAGTCCTCCGGCTGGCGGTACCTCGTCGTCCTCGCCGCCGCCCGCATCATCGGCTTCTCCCTCCGCCTCGCCATCATCAACGACCCGGCAAACACGTCCCTCTGGATCGGCTGGATGACGGTCAACGGCCTGGGCCTGGGCCCCCTCGTGCTCGTGCTCCTCGGCCTCCTCAGCCGCGTCTTCGACTCCATCAACCGCCAGGGCCACGTCGTCCTGACCCCGACGCACCAGCGCCTGGTCCAGCTGCTCGTCGTCGTCGCCGTCGTCGTCACCGTCGTCGGCGGCACCCAGTCCGGGTTCAGCCTCCAAAACGGCGCCGTCAGCGTCGACTACGCGACCGCCAGCCGCGTCGGCGTCGGCCTCATGATTGCCGCCGTCGCCCTGCTGTGTCTCGAGGCGCTCGTCGCCTTCCGGAACCAGGGCTACGTCGCGCAGGGCGAGCACCGCATCTTGCTGGGCGTCGTTGGCTCGCTGCCGTTTGTCCTTGTGCGCCTCGTGTATTCCTGCCTGACTGTCTTTGCCGGCGTCAACTCCAACGTGTGGGTTTATCTGGGCATGGGCGTCTTGATGGAGATGATTGTGGTGTTTATGCTCGAGCTTTTGGGCTTCACGCTGGACAAGGCGCCCCGGGACCCCAGGAGTGACGATCCTGAGCTGCTAGCTCAGCGAGACGGCCAGCAGCAGTTTATAAGACGTTACTAGAACTGATGAGCTTCGAATTTTTTTTTTTTTTCCCTTTCCTCGTTGCTGTTGTTTGGGAACACTCGTTTACCTTGGTTTAGTTTCGCGGGTTTCGGCATAGCGGCGTTGGCTATACCCATCGTTTGGTTCATTTTTGCTTGAGCGGAAGAACAAATACACAATGTCTCATAATTGGGTTCTATATATAATGTTTAAACAATGCTTCTCATAGTAAGTGCGACGTCATCAGTGTGTCCGCTCTGATGCCGTTTCTTTTCAGCATTTCATTCAGTATCATTGCAAATCACGTCTCTAGTAATTCCCATCCATGTCACCAACTATAAAAAAACAAATTTGATATACATCTCCATGACCAATATGTGCACAGACGCCAAAACGCGACTCTTTTCTACAGGTTCTAACCAATCGTGACATGTCCACTCGCCATCGCCAGCATCATCCTTCAGTGACATGAGAATAACGCGTCGAACCAAGCCTATATAACCGTATCCTCTAAAGTCTATCCCTACCCGGGGCATATGTCTTATCCAAAGCATGTGAAGCATCATCATCTCGGTGCCTTTCAACCAGTCCCATATGTCCAACATCCCTATAAACATTAAACCAAATAAAAATCCTCCAAACAAAAGGTATCTAAAAATCGCAGCATCTCAGGCCGGAACTCGGGTTGTCCCTCCTCACATGACCGTACAGCAAGCCTTCTCCAACTTGCGCAAAATCTTGGGCAACAGCTTACCAACCATCTCCTCCATCTCATTCTGTTGCTGATTTCCATGTTGTTGCTGTGGCTGACCGCCGTGGTATTGCCCACCGTGCTGCTGCTGCTGTTGATGGTGTTGATACTGCCCACCATTGCCAGTATGTCCTCCGTATCCGCCGGCACCATGTTGACCAGGTTTCACGGGCTCTCCCCCCTGCAGGTTGATATATATCCTGCCTGCGTTCTCTTCTGTCCTGTATTTCAAACCCAATTCCCTGCACAGCTCTTCCACCTTGGGCTTGATCCTCTGGACGTGGCCAGTGGAATGGTTTCCCTTGCCCACAATGGCATGCAAGTGCTCCTGGCCGCGTTGCTGGTCGGAGCGAATACGCTCTTCCAGTATACGCTCTGCTTCCTCAACATAAAGGCCGTGAAGGTCGATTGAGTCTCCGTCGATTTTGCCCTGAGCATTGTTCTCGCGGAAGATGTAGTCGGCCGCCCGG